TGCAAACTGCTTTCTTTGTGTCCAAGATTCCTATATAGATGCATCAACCTTGCAGATAGTATACAATCCGCAACCTATGGGCTTGCGTGTATACATATGTGGGTATATCCATACAAAATTATACACAGAAAACACAGTATCCACTTTTGTGTGTATCTACATATATATTTGTGTGTATGTCTCTATATATATATATATGATACATATTACATATTTTTATCATGTTCCGCATACAGTATGTACAATACAGTTGATAATTCGAATATGTTATACTTGAGTATCCTATTCACGTATGTTATCTTAAAGTACAACATAGGATTGCAGTTTACATTGGTCCAGTATGCTGTATCACGACTATTCTAGTATGTCATTATTTCACAAAGTTCAGGCTGATATATGTACTTGCATTATACATCACATATACACTACATGTTTAGTCAAATGCCATATCATACAGCATGGCATAATCGTCTTCTCAGAAATCTGAGTTTCTGTGTTTGTGTATAAATACATAATACGTATTATACAACAGGATGTATAAGCAGTATATATATACATATATATATATATATATATATAGACACACACACGCACGCACGCACGCACGCACGCACGCACGCACGCACGCACGCACGCACGCACGCACGCACGCACGCACGCACGCACGCACGCACGCACGCACGCACGCACGCACACACACAAACACACACACACACACACACAATCACCCACACACCCACCCACCCACACACACACACACACGCTTGTGCATGTACACACACACACACATGCGCGGGTATATATCTGTACATATATCAACATGTACATACATATATATATATATATATACGCATTTATCTACACGAATAGCATGTATGTATATACACGTACATATGGATGTGTATATATATATACAGATGGATGCATCATATAGCCTATGTAAGGTATTTGCCTCACACAAAGCTGCAACACATACTGTGTTGTGTGACATCTTCATATACAATATATGCAACCTAACATGTCTTTTACATTCGTTTTCAATATAGCTAATACACCTTGCGTAACACACGTTATGTAGGATTTTTCTTAACGATGTAATTTTAATATACATATATATGTATCATGTACCTGCACTGTGTAACTATATCATATGCCGTTGTGATGCATTATTCTGTTTGATTTATACGATACACAGAACATATAGTTCGTAGCTTCTCGTCTACACTGTAATGAGTACAGGTTTGAGTTGACGAAGCACAGCCCAGAGCCAAACACCTCCTTGCGTTCTGCAGGTTAGCGGTCGCGTCTTTGGCGCCCCCTCGGGCACAGGTCCCCAGGCGGCCACTGGTGACCTCCCGGATCAGAGGCAGTGGTTGTTGAAGTTTCAAAGGGCAATATAGGGGCCTTGATAATTAGAATAGGGTTCCCTTTCAAGGGGTTTATAGGGGTTACTATAAGGGCTTCTTTACAGGTACTATAATAGGGGCCTTAATAATTAGAATAGGGTTTTGGGGCCCACTATACTATACTTACAATAAGGAACCTCCAAATAGTATTGGTAATTATTTAGGCCCCTATAGTATAGCGGAAGCAAAGGAACAAACACAAGCTTGGTCTCCAGGAAACTCCTAGACCCTAGATGCTAATAGGCTACAGCATTGCGTTTAGGGGTTTCCTGGACAGCCTTATTCTTGCATGGCTTGGATGAGCATTACTGTTAGCATGACCTAGCCTGTTGTTGCTGTACCGGAATCACTATTCACATCCCGCACTCTCTGACAGGTTCTAACATGCAGTGCATGTAGTAATGTAGTGATCCATGCTGTGTCCACTGTGAGATGGGTGATTATGTTCTGACAATGAGTGATGATGTGGCTTGAGCCTGGCGAGTATCTATGGCCATGATAATATTCATGCTGTTAGTGACTTCGGCTGGTTAAATGGCTGTGGTTTTCGTTGTCGTTGTAGCAGTTGCCGTAGTTGCTGGTGCTGATTTCTGCGTTCGCAGCGTAGACTATTGTCACTGTCAATGGCCGTTCTTCTCCAGCTGCTCTGATGGGGCTAGCTCGCCGATAGAAATCCACAGCATGTGATTCGTGTTGTTGGCCAGACGAAACCTTGCGTCACCAGGCGTTGATCTCGTTGTGAGGAGTTGAGAGCTTTAGGCATTGTGTACGGCAACTCATGGTCACCCGGACATCTCAAGCCTTACCTTTGGTTCGTAGGGAATGGAGGAATGGGGTACAATTACAACTACTATTACTACCATTCTTCCATTCCCTACTAACCACCTGCATTACCCATTACAGGGAATATACCATAGTTCCCATATTTTAGAGTCCTTAGGGTCTTCCATTCCCTACTAACCAAAGGTAAGACTACCCCTATAGATCGCTATAGATCCCTTTAAGGAGCCCTATAAATCCCTTTTCGGAACCCTATTCCCTACTAACCCAAGGTAAGAAGCGTGCAGTGTGCAGGCGCTTGAGAAAGCCTACGAAACTCAGCAGGGAGCCCAGGTGGACCTGCGGGTCCTTCACCTCGGAAGCATGATCGGGTTTAGGGTTTAGGGTTTAGGGTTTAGGGTACCTGGCTCGCGAAGGCTCAACGCTGCAATCCCTCACCCTACACGCTGGGTCCCTGTCCCAAAGGCCTTGAATACAGTAGCAACTAGTAGTAGTATGTGTTGTCGTCGTAGTAGTAGTAGCAGTAGTAGTTGTAGTGGTAGTAGTAGCAGTAGTAGTAGTAGTAGTAGTAGTAGCCCGAAACCCCTAAACCCTAAACCCTCTGACATGCCGAGGCCATTCCTCCGAAAGCAACCTCGAGGCCAAAACTGTTGGCGGCTAGTAGCTGCAGTATTCCATGGGCGATGTAGAGGTTAAGACTCGGATGACGCAGGGCCGGGTGGAGCTGGGCTGCAACGCCTAGGATTTAGGGGTTTAGGGCATGGAAAGTTTGGGGTTTGGGGCTAAACGTCTTGGTTTTTGTGAAGCAAGTCATATTGCTGGAAACTAGACTTCATGGCAAGGACCTGTGTGTACAAGAAACCCGAAGCATACAGAATTGCAACACTGGTTTGCAATCCCCACACTAATACGCCATCAAACCCATGAACCCATGTTAGTAACATGAGATTGCCCTAGTAATGGCTCAGTTGATGACAACCCTCAGTAGCTCGGCGCCGATAACATAGCTTTCCGGTGCTTGATGATACTTAGTTGCTTGTTGCCAGAATCCATTTGAGGGGGAGCTTGGCTCAAGGTAATGATGGTCTGGTGGTTCAGGGCCCTGTCCAAGCACAGAGAAATTGAAATGAGTGATCTAATCAGTACCTGACATGCAGGTGGGGAGACGATTTGCTCCATCAACAACTTTGTTGACGGGACTTTGATCCTTTTAGCAATCATCATAGAAACCTGTACGGCCATCATGACAACAGTTTTCATCAATCTGGCTAATTTATCCTGCCGTTGCTTTCATGCTTCGTCACAGCTGCAAGCATAACCTGGAAAGGTGTTTCCACGACATGCACCACGGTCGATTAAACCAAAGCTCAGTGCCGGCAGGACAAGCTTGGACGTCGTGAGTTCTTTGACATCTGCCAAAGCCCAAGGTTTAGACCTGGGCAGGGAGGCTGTAGCTATAGTCTCTTTAGGAATTATGTTTTTCATTTTCGTTCATATAAAACCCAAGAGAATTATTAAAAATATAAGTTTTATTATGGTTCTAGGGGGCATAGGTAGTTTATGGGGCGCAGGAGGGCTCCGGGTTTAGAGCAGCGGTTTGGGGGGAATAAAGCGTTCTTGAGGTTTCCGAGTTGCCCAGGGCAGTGAGCTTAGAGCAACTTCTGCAACCGGCCTGCCTTTCACGCTGAACCCCTTCACCTCAGACTTTGCAGCATATGTGACTCATAGACAGAGTCGGGGTCCTTTGCGGCTAAGAAGTTGAAGGCACCCCTTTAAGCCTAGCCTCTTGTGAACCCTGCATGGCTCGACCAAGTCACTTGGGCGGACAAGTATGCACAGCTCATCGGTCGGCCAGATGTGCGGCTCCGGGCTCAAGACGAAGTCGTCCTTGTTTGAGGTTTGGGTGTGGCTGCCAGAGGAGGTTAAGTTGAGAATTTATGAAGGGTCCACGAGATTAGGATTTCTGTAGTGTTGAGCTTTGAGTCGAGACGGGTGCATCAGCAAGCCCCTCATCCGAAACACACTCGTGCGGTGGCAGGTGGGCAGCAGTGGCAGGTGGCAGTAACAGCAGCAGTTGCAGTAGCAGTAGCAGCAGGAGGAGGACGAGGAGCAAGAAGAAGACACGGTTGACTGAAAATCTGGTGTTGAAAACGTTTGCATTTGTGGCCCAACACAGTGTCGGTACACAGATGACGCACAATGGCAGCATCATGCTACATCGCAGTATTGCATGCCCTGGCCGCGTAGCAGTGCATTTTCATTCCCGCAATGCACAAGTAGCAGAAGCGAGTCTGACTCGCGGTGCTTGTATCTAAGTAATTGCTGGACCATCGCCAAGCCTTCTGTATTCATCTGGTGTCACTCACAATACCTAGCAGCTGAATCAAAAAACTCTTTCTCTACAGTATGTTGCAGTGCGATCGACCAAGTCAGGCCCCATGTGCAGCAGCGCAGCTTGCTGGATGGGTGGTGCACTTACCACTGGACAGCCCTGTTGTGGAGCTAGCCGACAGTCTAAGCCAGAAGCCAACACTCTAAAGTCCAAAGTGTACAGCAGCTCGCAGATTGACTTCCTGTCACAACCGGCGCCCACGCACGACTGTCTGCGTCGGGACTCTGTTGTAGTTATACGAATTCAAGTCGGCACCGCCGACATGCACCCAGTTCCTCAACCAGGACCGCATTGCAAGCCAAGGATTGAATCTCATCTCCTGTTGGCTGAGAAGGAAGGCGGCCGTTCGAATCCGTTAAACCCGTTAGTCTAAACCCTAAATGAGCTTGGTTTCTTGATGCAGTTATAGCTAGCGAGACTTTATGGACGAGGCAGATCTCGACCTTGTTTGCACGAAGACGGGCTCCGTGAATCTTCGGGTTTCAGTGCTTTACATACCACGTGTTTGAACCCCCCATGCCGTGAAGCCCTAAACCAAACTGAAGCCTTGAGCAACTCCGCAACCTGCAGAGGCTCCTTGGCCGTTTTTCACCCATGCATAGCATAGAAGTCTAAATGCTTACCGATATTATTCCTTAGAGGTTCCTTATTGTATTTATATCATACAAAGGAGCCCCAAACCCTACTAATTATCAAGGCCCCCAAATTAAACTCTCAAAGGCCATATAAAGGCCCCCCCCAAACTCCAGTATCAGCCGTCTTCAAGCCTCCAAGCCTAAGCCCCAACCACGCCAGCCAGACCCCAGCCCTAAAGCCTTTGAGCTCTGAGGCCCAAGCCCAAAACCCCCGACAGAGGCCATGTACATGTGGAGCCGCAAGCCCTAAACCCTATACCCTGAACCCTAAACCCTAAAACCACTTTCAAAAAAGACCCTAAAACCACTTTAAAACATTAAAACCACAGTCAAACATGTAGAGATCCCAAAACACAGGCGATATCGAGGACCTGAGCACTTCTGCCTCGGATTGTGACGGTAAGCTCGAGCTGGAGACCTGGGAGTGTATGTATATATATATATATATATACGTGTGTGTGGATGGGTGGGTTTTATTCTATTTTTTTTTTTTGCGTGCGTGTGTGTGTGTGTGTGTGTGTGTGTGTGTGTGTGTGTGTGTGTTCTCGTGCGTTTGCTTGTTTGTTGTTTTTACAGTTTGGTTGGTGGTTGTGTGCTTGTCTGTGTGTGTATGTTTCATGGTTGTTCCTTTCTCTTCTTATCTCAGGTGTTTGTTGTTGCTCATGCTCTTTCAAAGTGTTTTTGTAATTATCCTTCTTTCAGCTCGGAGGTGTGTGGGGATCAAGCACCACAATTTTTGAGAGCTTAAGAGTGTTCAAAGCCGGATCGCCAGATTTTGCGGAGTCCGCCTGTATCGTACGTGCTGAGAACTTGCTGATCTAGGGCTTAGGGTTTAGGATTTAGGCTTCACGCTTAGGGTTTCAGTTTAGGGTGGCTTAACCCTTGAGGCCCTTGACTCAAAAAGCCCTTACATCCAGAAGCAGGTAGGCAGGTTTGTAGGTGCTAGTTAGTGGAGAGCTTGTGTTCAGACTTTTCGCCCATGTGCGTCTTCGAAGTGCAGCAGAATGTCGGAGTTTCAGTAAACAGGGCACCCTAACAGCCTTAACATACAATACCGTAGAATCCTCATCATAAACTCCGAACCTAAATCCGACAGCCTACACCTCCGAACCTTCTGTATGTATGGCCTCAACAGCAGGGATAGGGTTTTGGGGCCAACTATACTATAATTACAATCACGAACCCTAAGCGGGGTATCTTCCGTGTGTCTCGTCACGCGGCCCAGGTCGATCAAGGAGAGTCCTGCGGTGCCTTCGTCTTCTCCTCGGATCCGCTGTGAGGGTACCAAAAATGCTACGAGAACCAGGGTTCCGCAAAGGGACTCAGACCAGCAATTACTATGTTCTGTATTCGAATTCACGGCTACCATAAAGGGTCTACATGGGGGTGACAAGAGTGGGTTAAGGGCTCTATGAGGAGACTATAACCGCACGAGAAGTACTACTTGCTTACAGTTGAACCCTGGCAGGGTGCTTGAGGGATCTCCTGTAATGCTTAGTAAGACTTAGTACTACCCAATTCCTAGATTGGTAGTTCATGGCTTCCTTGGAGGAGCCTGTTCAGAGTTCCTGTAGCTAGTTCAAGGTAGGTACTGCGATTCGACCTGATCCAGCCTGGGGGCCCGGACCTACTAGCAACTTTCTAAGCTTGCTTCCGGGACACCGGACATGTGTCTTGTGTGGATCGGACGACTTTGGGCCAAGGACACTCTACAAGTCCCCATATCTTAGATTTGTGCACGCCAGCATCCATGCTACTATCTTGGTCAACCGGTCGACTGTAAGCTTCGGCCTGGACCCCGACGAAACCTGTGATCTAGTCGTGTAGGCCCTAACCCGAAATCCCACGTTCTGGCACGATGCTTTTTTTCGTTTCCTAGACCCTCCATCTACCCTCTATTTGACCCTAAATGCCCCTTATTTGGGACCATATACCCCTAATTGAGGGTACAAGGAGGGTCCTGGTTGGGGGGCATCCAGGCACTAGTCGGAGTCGGAGTAGTTCTTGGACTGTGGCCTAACCATTTCAAGCCAGTGCTCACCGAAGCGGTCTTTATTTGTTAGACCGTCTTTATAGTTTCCAACCGGGCTTGAACAGTAAACAAAGGGCTTCGATCGAAACCCCAGCTTCGGTCAATTCTCCTAATGTTTCTTTACAAGCTCTTTACGGGTAGTTGTATAGAGTCTTGGGTTGTAGTTTAAGGCTTAATTATTAAAGGCTTTAAGGGTTTCAGATCTTGAACCCAGAGTGCCCGAACCAGCTCGACGCTTTGAGGTGTTAGGTAGGGGAAGTCTCGCATCAGGCTCCAGGTGCGACGCATGCTGCAAAGTTTGCTGCACCTCGGCTCCCGTTAGGGCCAGTTTGGGATAGCTTCGTGGGCTGTAGGAAACCGTTTGTGTCTTTGAAGCACTTTTCGACTTCTGATCGAGTTTTGTATCCCCACAAACCAGCATGCCAGAATTTGTTAGAAGTTTCCGGCTTCTGTTTGTTTTGCTCTGGGTTCTGATCGAATTCTCATCCGCTGGAACACCCCTTCCGCCACGTCGGTGTGAGTTGAATCTCAGAATTTCGAATCTGACTTGACAAGAGAATCCACGTAGTTTGTAGTAGATGCCCAACACATCACGGTAACTACTCTAGGGGCCTCAATAATTACCCATACTATTTTGGGGCTTCCTTATTATGATTATAGTATAACGGGCCCCAAAACCCTGTTCTAAGGTTTTAGGCCCCTATATTATAGTAGTAGGCAGAGCAAGATTGCAGCCAGAGCAGCTCTAGTCTGGCGATGTCTGGCTTGGGGGTTGGATACGGTTTAGGGTTTAGGGTTTAGGGTTTAGGGTTTAGGGTTTAGGGTTTAGGGTTTAGGGGAAAGGAGAGATTCTTTCAAGCCACTCAAGCGTCCTGTTTCACAGAATGCATAGCTAGCTAGCCTGAGCAAAGAATCCCAGTCTTTTCTTTAATCCAAGGGGTCCTGCACCTTCGGTCTTCCAGAAGCTTACCTTTGGTTGGTAGGGAATGCAGGAATGGGGTACAATTATAACTACTATTACTACCATTCTTGCATTCCCTACTAGTCAAAGGTAGGGAAGAAGCCCTATGGCAGCGCAAGACCTTGTGCCGACTCATACTTAGAGATGCAAGGGGCCAGGTAGGCTCATCGGACAGCCGCAGTACATCTTGGGCACCAGTGCTCTTCTGCAAAGTCCGACACTGGGTTTGGAGAGGTGGCCCAGGATAGCCCGAACAAAAAAAGGTTACTTTGGAGCGTTTTATCCGGCTGGATGCCGGCCTGACCTACACTCCTCAACCCCAAACGCGTACCTTGCTTCAGGGCGTCCTCATAAAATCAAGGATCTATACTATGGTAGGGTCTACGCAAAGATCCGAGTCCAGCAGATCGGTTCTGATCGCTGAGGCCCGCACGCAACAGCCTCGACATTCCGCTTGAGGCCTCACTGCGGCTGTGGGTTTAGAGGGCTGCTCTGCAGTACTTGTGCCATATATAGGGACTATAGGGGCCCGGCAATTTGTAACAGGAACATTTTCCTGGGGTCTCGACATACGTATTTTACTCTATACTACCGGCTACCAACCGAGAGCGGCTTAGAATAGGTTTCGGAGCAGACGCTTGTCAATTTGAGCATCTGAACACAAAGCCTCATGAACCCTCAAGCCCAAGCACACATCCGGATCCGTAAAGCCTAAGCTTGAGGTCTGGGTGTTCCGGTTGTCAGACAGTGTCGGATAGAATATGCTAGACGGAAGAACGGTAGGGACAAGAGCAGTATATAATATAGAGACCTCAATTCAAGAATTACCTATACTATTTTTAGGGTGCCTTACTATAGCTATAGCATAGTGGACAGCAAAACCCTATTCTAATCATTAAGGCCCCGAGCGTATGCGGTTACGGTGTGTGCGGATCTGCTCTCCGCTTTGGTGTGCTTCGTAATTAATCGTGTTGCTGCGATGGAGTGGATGTGGCTATCACTATGTCTGCTTGCGGATTCCGTCCACATTTTGCAGCAGTGTGTCGACTGCTAGATGACACTGTGGCTAGGTAGTGTCCGCTCCCGTTTTTCGTCAAGTCGTGCCGTTAGTAATCAAGACGGGTGCACAGACTTATGGAAAGAAAGAGGCTGGTCACTGAATTGAGTCCTCGCGAAGACCTGTGCACGGCAGGAGTGCGATACCATGTCAGCAGCCTATGTTATGTGCAAGAAGGTGTCCACAGCAGCCTGCAGCCGTAAACCCAAGACCATATGCTGTCACCCAGAGGCTAGAAGCCGCGAAGTCGGTGCATACTCTAAGAAGCCTAGAGTTCTGAATGTTAGTGCATGAAGTCCTGCTGGCCTCAAGCTGACAGTCTGCAGCTGATCACAACAAGATTCGCCTTCGGAGTAGTGGAAGGCTTTAGATCCTTTAGCTGTTCAGGGTGTCAAGTTTCCAATCCTCGTTGAACCCACGTATCTCGGAGTACTTACATTTACGACGGTAGGGTTTCGTTGGGGGGTGTACTTTATCGGTCATCGTATCAGGGATTTCAATGACCGTTTAGGGTACCATTACCTGTCATAGTTTAGACTATATACAGTAGAAGCCGAAAAGTTGGAAACCCAATAGCCTCAATCCTTAAGAGCAATGTATGGGGAATTCCTCTTTGGCCTTCATCCGGTTTCCAACTTTATGGGACCTACTGCATTCCGATACACCTCAGAAACCCCTCTCTACTTGCTATATAAGCCCCTACATTACCCCTAGACCCTAACCCCCTATATTACCCCAACCCTAAACCCTCACCCCCTATACTGCCCCAACCCTAAACCTTAACCCCCTATATTACCCCAACCCTGAACCCTAACCCCCTATGTACATTACCCCAGCCCTAAACCCTAAACCCTCACCCCTAAACCCTAAACCCTAAAACCCTCTCTATCATAGGAACCCTCACCCCATGCGCCGCAGATGGTGGCTCGCCTGGAGCACTTGGTGGAGCTGGCAGATCGGGTGGAGTCAAAGAAGAGGCAGCCTCCCAATACAAAAAGATGGCAGGAGGAATTTCGGGATCTTAGGGCCTACTTGGAGGATCATAAGGTTATAGGTACCCTAATTGGAGTTATAAGTATAGTTACCCTATTTATGACCCTAGTTACTAAGTCCCATGATCCTCCAAGTACCTATTGTAATATGGGATTTACAGGGAATTCACAAAAAAGTAGGTTCTGGTAGGTTAATGTAGAATTTAGGGTATATAGTCAGGTTTTAGGGTATAGTTATGGTTTGGGGTTTAAGTTTAGGGTTGAGGGTTTAGGGTACAGTCATGGTTTAGGGTTCAGGGTTTAGAGTTTAGAGTTTAGGCCCCGGTTTAGAGTTCGGGTTTTCAGTTCAGAGTAAGCCTGTCTTGTTCGAAGAATACCGAGAAGTTCGTGCCAGCCGCTTTTTTGCTGATTACAAGTAGTACGATACAACTGCTATTGTCATCACTCCTGTCTAGTATTCTGCTCGATTTGTTTGCTACGGCTCCAATGTGTTCAATCCCTCCACAGTGTATAATTATACAAATCCTTCGAGGGTGCCATGTCTTTGAGACTCAGCGTGCAGTGTGACTACCGAGTCAACACATCTCGTCGTTGAGAGAGGGTTTTGTCATTTCGGGCTTGGGGAGCGGTTTAGGGTTTAGGGTAAACCCAAAGGCTGGCTGTAAAGTCGAAAAGTAGAGGTTCGCAGAAACTCCTACGCTTCAGCACGCAGCATGTGCGTGCACGGTTCGAACCATACTCCTGCAACTGCTGCTGCTGCTGCTGCTGCCACTGCCACTGCCACTGCCTCTGCTACTGCTACTCCCCTTCTGACTAATGCTACTCCGAATTACTCCTGCCATTACTCCTAGTCCTAGTCCTGTTACTACTACTGCTGCTGCTACCGCTACTACATCTAGTACTACTGCTATTGGTACTACTGCTACTAGTACTACTATTACGACGACGACTATTGGTGCCGCGCGACTGGTTTGCTATGAAGTCATCCAGGACGAAGCCTGGACAGGCAACTCCTTAGTCTGTGCCTGAATCCGAAACGGCCCCAAAGCCCAGTGTCAGCAAAAGCATTAACGCATCCATGCAGACCCGAATGTCACAAGACCACAGTAACCCCAACACCAGTACAGGTTGAGCCCTCACCTTGCGGTCCTATGGAAACCCCTAAATCATCTCTTGACTGTAACACCTCTAACCCGACAAACATCCTGTAACACTGTGTAGACACCCGAATGCACTTTGACCTTCTTGAAAGGCTTGCAGAACCCAACAGCCCTCAACTTACCTTTGGTTAGTAGGGAACGGAGGAATGGGGTACAATTTAAAACTACTATTACTACCATATTACTACCATATGACTTCCATATTACTATCATATTACTACCAAAGTATCACTATTACTACCATTCTTCCATTCCCTACTAACCAAAGGTAAGTCAACTGAACTGCGGGGCCCAGAGACCCGTGAGGCTTCGCAGCCGCCTGGTTCGTGAGCAAACACCGCTGTCAGGCGAGATGGGTTTAGGGTTTAGGGCTTAGGGTTTAGATGGGTTCCGGTGCGCGCTTTAATTATGCTTTATAGCCTCGGAGCTCTATGTCTCATATAGGGGCCTCAATAATTACCAATGTTATGGTGGGGGGGGTCCTTAATACAATTATAGTAGAATGGGCCCCCAAACCCTGTTCTAATTATTAAGGCCCCTGTAGTAGGTGTTTATAGAGGTGTAAGATTTACAGTTCAAGCTCCGAGGTTGAAGGTTATGGCGTTTCAGGTTTACCGGTTTAGCGGTTCAGCGTTTAAGATTCGCTTTACGGCTCTTTTGGGGTCAGGGCAGGATCTAGAGGATCTATCTGTTGATCGTTTGGGGGGTGTAGGATCTTGCGACTTTAGATGTAACAGATGCAGCGTTCAGGGTTCCAGTTCTGGTCTTGCAGTTGTCGATTCGCACGGGTTGAATCCCCCGAAGGAGCACGGCTTTTCTCTGTGAGACCTCAAATGTTGGCTTCGGAGCATGGGCTTCGCGGGTTTTGGACTTTTCTGGCTATAGAGCTTGCGCGCTCAAGTCTTTAGATGCGTTTACAGAATTTCAGAAGAACCTCGGGAACGAGTTCGCTTTATCTTCTGATAGGCCTTAAAGCCTATACTCCCCCCAACCCGTTGTAAGGTTTAAGGGTGGAGGGTCTTTGGGTTTGGGTTTTGGCTGCTTGTTGGTTGGTCACGCGTGAAAGCACATTCCGACATCAAACTAACTTGTGCCTCGTAGACCTGAGGAGCCTGGTGGAATATATAAAGATGCTAGCTAGTTGTCATGTCTTATTGCACAGACGTGTTTGTGTGTCTGTCTGTCTGCCTGTCTGTCAGTTTGTTTGTGTATATGCAAATTGTGTGTGTGTGTGCGTGCGTGTGTATGTGTGTGTGTGTGTCTATGAATGTATGTCAGTATGTATGTATGTATGCATGCATATGTGTATGTACGTACACACGTATGTATATGTATGTATATGTATATGTATATGTATATGTATATGTGTGTGTGTATATATATATATATATATCCAAACACACACACATGTGATTATGTATCTGTCTACATATATATATATATATATGTATGTATGTGTATATATATACACATATGTGTAGACATGCTTGTACACACTCACACACATACTCGGACCCTGCACATCGATGGCACTCCGATATTTTGCGAGGCGTGAGCCTTGAACCGGAGCCTCTGCTTTTGGAGGTGTCGCGACTTTGCGAGTCCGGGGGAGTCTTAGGGGTTTGGGGGTTCAGGGAGTTGAGGGGGGGTTGGGGGTTGCGGGAGTTGAGGGGTTTAAGTGTATGAGGGTTTAGTAAAGTAGACCTAGAGAGTTACTGTACGGGCTGCTACGAGGGTGACTAGAAGGGTTGGTGCCCTAAGGGTTTCGAGGGCTTTATGTGTAGTACGGTCGTGCATTGATTGGACACTCACCGTGGTTGCAGTCGGAACCGGTCACCTGGTTCCTAGGCCCCCCAAAACCCGCCCCAACCCTCACAAGCAGAATGCGGGGTGGGGTAAGCACGCACGCCGGCAAGGCACCTGAAGGGCTTCGGCTCTCACGACGCACAGGGTTTAGCGTTTCAGACTTCAAGGTTTTCGGTTTTGGTTTCATGCCTACAAGCGGTAGCAGTACTCGTCGTCGCAGGGTCACCCACTGCATGGTGCTGCCTGTTCGTGTTTGCTTCCGAAGCAGCACGAAATGCTTTGCCCTGTCATCCTCGACGAGCTTCCAGAGAATTTATCCCAAACCTTGAACTTTAACCTCAAATCCCGAAGTCCGAAACTCCTGAACCTCAAGATTTCTCGAGCCTTTGAGCTGGCGAAAAACAACCCCCCCCCCCCCCCCCGCCAAGGCCAACAAAAAACACGCATCTGCTACTAAGGGATTCGGGGTATAGGGCTATTTAGGGTTTTAGGGTTCATAAGGAAACGAACCACCAAGCTGGGTATAGGGCTATTTAGGGTTTAGGGTTTATAAGGAAACGAATCATTAAGCTGGGTAGAGGGCTTAAGGTGGCTGCTAGGCTGCTATTCCTCGCAGCCTTGTGTCCCGAAGCTCCTTGTGTCCCGAAGCTAAGCCCACATGCGACAACAACGTTTCGACCGCCTACTCCAAAGTCCTTTCAACCGCGGAACCTCCTTGCTTTCCACGAAAGCCACGATGTGTATACCAGACTTCATTCTGATTTGTTCACGAGCCTGCTGCTGAAAGCCATGGCTACCGTTGGCTGGGGCATTATCGGCTGTGGCGCTGCTTGGCGAGATCATTTTAAGCAGTGGATTTCATCCGGGGTTTGGGAGTTTGTCGGGGCTTTTCTCTGCAGTGCAAGTTGGAACCTCAAAGGTGTTGGAGTTTATAAGCTCCAGGCAGCTGTGCTTTTGACTTCAGCATCCGATGTATGTGTGCTTGTCTAATCAACTGCAGCTTCAATCCTGAACCATCACCCCTCACACACGCACGCTCACACACACACACACACACAATATCAATATCAGTATATATATATATATGTAGGAGATTATAGGAGCCTTGAAAATCATGGTATAGTATACCCGCAAAACCCTATTCTAAGGTCCCTATATTACGCACACTGACACACGGTTTGCCCTTCGCCCTAAGCTTTACAGCCTAGCCCTGGTCACAGGATGTCACGGAGGTGAAGAGTGGCCCGGCATTTCAACGTGCCCGTGGCGCTGAACTCGTGGCAGCCTCTCGATGTGTAAGAAGCCCTCAACAAAAGTTCTCTGGTGTGTTCTAAACGCTCTGCAAGATCGCTACGCAAGGGTTTAGTATGTTTAGTATGTTGGGCTCAAGGGCGGCTTTTCAATTACGTGAAGGCCAGTCATGTCTGATTTCCAAATTGCCAAGTGCGAAATTTCAACCCTCACCCCACCTCCTGCGACTGAACCGAGAGCTCTCTTTGTTTTAGCAGTTGCACCCCAAACAAGCAGTCTGGGACTGCAGGGCTCTTGAGCTGAAACTTGATGCCGGAAATCGCTCTTTCAAAGCATTCTTCCCTGGGTATATCATATATATACATAATATATATAATTCAATCACGGTATCTTATGCTTAACGTCGGCCTGCCTTGCAGCAGCGCTGTCCTACGACGGCTTTTGATCAGTTCTGTGAGGTCATGCGCCGAGATGCCGAGAAGGCGAAGGACTATGCAAAGCGGCATGGTGTGGCAAACTGGTACACTTCTGTGGAGGACATTCCAGTTCCAGGGACGCAGGAATCACACGAGTGGGACAACCGATAGAGTAGGGGTCCGGTATGTTCGAGTGGGCGTGGGAGAACCATGTCCAAAATGTGGGGCCTGCATCGAAGGGGTATCAGCCCTGTGGTCGTTAGTTCTTCGGTGGCACATTTGCAGGACCTCCTGGCGGATCCGAAAGTGACGCTTGCTTGCAGCATGCTGAGTTACGCCCTCTCGGCGGTACTATGGGTTACACTTTTTCCACGGAGAGCTTGCATCCAGAACGGACAGATAAAGCGACAATCCGTCACTAGTCATACCTGCCAGGACTGCCGTTTACGTTGCCACGCCTCCGGGATCGCGGCTCGAAATCGCCAAACAGGTTGCCGCGTCCGGCAAGCCGTGTTATATGGAATCTCGCCATAGACTTCAGTAGTTTCTAGATCGTTCCCTGGCAAATACTATAACACGATAATACTACTATAGTACTATAGTACCATAGTATTATATTAAGATAGTGATCCTTCCCTGGCAGTGCCGATCTCGGTGTTGCGCGGGGTTACGAAGCGGAAGTCTCAAGAGCGACTCTTCCCCAATCGCACAAGGAGAAGCCCATGGCGCGCAACGTCACGGAGTCCTTGCAAGTCGCAGAGCCGTTCAAGGAGGTCTGCAAGTGCAGTTAATGTTCGACAGCTGGAGCATTTGCGAAAGTGTGCAGCTGCTTGAGCAGCTGAACAGATGAGAGAGTGTTGTGGAGAGTGTAGTACCAGCAGTGCAGCGGAGATGCGCCAACTAACCCCATCACCGATCTAAGTTTATACGAAAATACATAAGGCATGCATGACACTTTATGGCATGGGTTGTGGGTGTCTGAAGATGATGACGGTATAAAGGGCAAGCGAAACAGCTTCAATTCCGAAGACTGTGTTTCAACGTGCCCCAGACCTCCCACGCTGGCAATCCAATCTTTTCTAGCTACATCTCTTTCTAGGCATGTACCTCTGTCTGTATGTATGTACATAAGATATGCGTAAAACAGGCAAAGAAAGAGCGAGAGAGATAGAGAGCGGGTATGTTTGTGGGCGAGGTGTGTGTGTGTGTGTGTGTGTGTGTGTGTGTGTGTCTGTGTGATTCTCTGTGTGTGTGTGTATCTGTGTGATTCTGTGGTCTGTGTGTGTGTGTCTGTGTGTCTGTGTGATTCTGTGTGTCTCTGTGTGTGTGCGTGTCTGTGTCTGTGTGTGTGTCTGTGTGTCTGTGTAATTCTGTGTGTCTGCGTGTCTGTGTGTGTGTGTGTGCGTGTGTTTGTGCGTGTGTGTTTGTTCGTTTGTGCGTGTTTGAGCCGGGCGCAGAATTCCCTTCCGAAGGCTGGTCGTCCGCTCTTCGTGGCGTACTATCGCCGAGCATACCCGCGGTTTGTTCGGCTGCGAGAGCTGCTGACCTCGAGCCAGCTGGGGACCATCACTGCAGTGCACCTTCAGCCGAAGTAACACAGCAGTTAGGGATCTGGTATACACTTCTCATCCGTCGGTCTTGGGTCGCCCAATCAAGTTCGGTTCAGCTGGTGTTTCGATTTGTCCGCCAGTTGGGTCATCATCTTTTCTGCCACGCTGCTGGTGCGATTTACGGAACGAGCCAGGGCACGTGCTGATGCCAGCATGACCTGCCCTAAACCCCCAACTTCATACGCCCTAAATCCAATCGACCGAAGTCCCTAACAAGGGGCCATGATAATTACCAATACTATTGTTGGGGTCCTTATTGTAGTTATAGTATAACGGGCCCCAAAACCCTATTCCAATTATTAAGGCCCCCATATTAATCTCGACATTTCTCTGGTCACCAACCTTAAACTCCCAAATCTTCTCAAGGCCTGAAGAATCCAAAATTTATCCCCGATTGTTCCTAGCATAATTATTAAAGTAGCCGAACAATTCATGTACGCCAAAGCTCTATATTGTCCTAAAAAGCGTCCCTATATTGCCGATAAGTTTGAAGTCCTCACAAGCCCTTAATCTCAGAGGCACTACAGGCTGCAGAAGCCTCCAGCGACGGAGCACGCCGGCGCCTGGTCTTGAAGGTTAGGGAGTTTGGGGGCGGGACAGCTTGTTTTTTGAGGGGGGTAGAGGATATCGCCTACAGGGCTTGTAAAGATGCAAACTGTAGGAAAGTCACCTACCTAGTCTTGGAATCCAAAGCGCTTTCTGAAATTTCCGAAAGGCTGGCGCTTCGATGTCGCCAGCTCGGGGGGTGGGCTCTTCGTGGATATTGGCTCCCATGTGCTCGATCTGCTGGACTTCCTGGTGGGACCGTTGCGGAGCCTGGGCTGGAGTTCATAATATGGGGGCCTTTGTCAAATACTTATTATACTATATTGGGGGGTTCCTTATTATAAGTATGATAGCATAATATGCCCCAGAACCCTCCTACAATGGTACGGGCCATGATACCAACGCTGCTGTTGACTTTGCCACCGCCGTTCTTCGTTGCTGTTGCTGTTCAAACTGCCGAAGTGCTGAAGCGTCGCAGTCATTAGACTACCATACTTATAATAAGGAGCCCCCAAACTAGTATAATGGATAATGACAAAGGCCCCCATGTCATGCCGTTTTTGATGAGGGTTTGGTTCTTTTCGGCTCACTTCCCATGGACTTTCCCAAAGGTTCCATGTACCTTTATAGTACATACTAAGGGGTCCCCATATAGGTACTTTAAGGCCTAAGTGTAAACTAAAGGGGTACATGGAGCCTTAGGCTTTGTTTTGGTGGTCCACGAGCAGTGCCAGGGTCGGTCTCCCTCGAGCGAAATGGCCACCCGACCCGACCGCAACCCAGCACACCCAGGCAGCCCCCGCGAGAGCAGCCGGTCCTTATCCCGGCAAGCACAGCTCGAACGCAGAGAGCAGATGGTTTGCGGTGACAAGCCCGCTAGACCGCCAAACTGCTGGTTTGAGAGAAGGCCGAAACAATCCAGGGTTGAATCATGCAGTGAGCCCAATGCAGTGGAATTGCCAAAGCGGCATGAATCGGAAGCTGAACCAGCAAAGTGAGAAGAAACCGTATTTGACAAGGACCTGTGCCGGAGATGTGACATGTTACTTAATGAATAGTATGATGCAGTCTTTTCTTGTGTTGATGGTTGGCTCATTGCTGCGATAGAACTTTGAACAGTCTCTTTTCAGTCTGCAGTAATTGACTAGTGACTATTTGTGACAGTAGCCTTGCTACTTTTTGTCTACCTATGGGCTCCATTGTAGTTCAATTTGGGGGTTCATATTTAGAGTCCTATAAGGTAAATCCCAAAAAGGAACTACGATGCAACCTCTATCCAATTTTCTGCTTTAGGGGCCTAAAGTTTGGGGGTTCCTCATGAAGGGCCCTATATTCTAGATCCCTTATAGACCCCTTTAACGAACCTTTTAAAGGGAACCCTATTCTGATCATTAAGGCCCCTATATTCTGTTTCTATCCACTTGTTGGTCTAAGGAATCTTCGCGGAGTCGCCAGTCGCGCAACTGGAGCGAAGATGTCGGTGCCAGAGGACACCGACGCACAAAACCCTGTTGTGGTATGTCCCGGCAGTTGTTGAGGTAGCAGGACGAGGAGGAGGAGGAGCAGGAGGAGGAGCAGGAAGAGCGGTAGTGGGAGCACGTACTGCTACTGACTACTGACTAGTGGTAGCCTGCAATACCACGAACACCAGCACAGTCGCACAAGTGCTAGCACGAGCAGCAGCAGTCGCAGCGGAGCAGCTATAGGTCTGCTCGTTTTTTGTTGCTGAGTTCTTTTGACGAAGTTGCTGCGGGCTGTCATCAACATGTCTGGCGGCACTCCTTGGTTCTCCAACATTCGAGCCTGAACCCTGAACCTTCACGCCTACCTGAACCATCGACCCTCCGCACCAAGAGGATGGTGTAGTGTTGAGCTTCGAGTGCGCCGAAGACGCGATCTTCGGCTATGCACGAGAGCAGGGTTTCTGAATGTTGAATGTAGTTCTTTCGCGTCGGGGCTACCAGGCAACCGTATCTAGGTGGTCTGGGTGTTGGCATTGGGCATCGATTGACTTTCAGTGCTCTTGCTTTGCAGACACCAGTTGCACCGAAGCTTGTTTAGGCTTTAGAGTTTAGAATTAAAGGCCGTCTGTTTCCGTGCTTAAACTCCACAGGCCATGCCTCGACCCTATGCACTTGTAGCCAAGAGCCATCGCCCAAAACCCTAAACTTAAACCAAACCCTAAACTCTAAACCCTAAAACCCTGAAACCCCTACGACCCTAAACCCTGAGCCCCAAAAGAACCCTCCCTGAGCCCCAATGGGAGTTTCCGAGAATTAGGGGTACCTTGTTTTGGGGTCCTTACAATAAGGGTCCTACCAGTACCATTTAGGGTACTATATTAGATGTTCGAAAACTCCCAAATCGCCCTACGCCTTGAGCCCAATGCTTGGGCAAGGATTGGCTCGGCTTCGTGGAGCTTCCGCGCGCCCGAAAGCTGCGACCTCCTGGAGATTCTAACGGCCACTGCCAAGGCAGCTAACATGACTAAAAAAGGGTTCCTTTAACTATAATATAGGGGCCTCAATAACGAGACTACTGTTTCAGGGCTTTCCACTCTATAGTTATGGTAGGACGCCACCAGATATGGTATTGGTAAGTATTTATACTATAGGCCCCTATAGGAAGTAGTGGAGCTATTCCTTAGGTTCCTTTGTAAGTTCATGTGTAAAATCTGGCCCCAGAAATTCCCCAAGAGATCCAATATGTACCCTGTTCCAATTATCCAGGCCATTGGATGTTGTATGAAGGATGCCCTGTGTCCTGTGATTCAGTTTTATTCCGGAGATGCCCTAAAATGTGGATGAGGGCACTGCTGGCGTACGGGTTCGTGAAGCCTGGTACATGATGAGCTCCGACAGCAAAGGGTCATACCCGACCCCTATTTTAGGGTGCGTACTTTTCTATACAAAAGATCCCAACGATACCCTATGCCTCTAGGTAGTGTTTAGGTCCTATAGGGCTTCAAGGTTTAATTAGGGGCTCGGGGTATGAAGGCTCAGGCTCCAAGATGGTAGATAGCGCAAGTTATCCCCGACACCCCTACTTAAGCCAGCTACCCCACGGCCCACGATTCAAAGCCCGGAGGTTAGCCTCCCCGATTTGATGAACGGCAGCCGCATCTCCGTGACTTATGCTGATGGCACAGCATCGGAGACTTGGGACATTCCTCCGCCGGCGCCAGCAGTGCAGGATTTTAGGGCCGAGGGTGAAGACAGCATGAAATGCCTGGAATCAATGAGCAACAGCCTGTTGGGCAAGTGGTCATAGGTCTTCAGGCTCCGTACAGCCTTCAATCACACACCCACCTCGGTTTCAATGTGGCTGTCACTGGGTGAAGGCTGTTGATACGAGGCTGATGGTGTTGTGCCTGCTACCGGCGCAGAGTCTGTTTCTGCAGTAGCTGCCATTCTTTCTGAGCTCGAGCCATCAACCCTAAACCCCAAACCCTAAATCCTACACCCTCTGGAGAGGAGCCCTTGATTCAAAGCGTTACGGATGCCATTCTGGCCGGGAGCCCTGAGCTTTGCTCCAGTACCGCGGACTCAGCACTTCGCACTGCCCGCAACATCGACGGTGCGCTGGAAAGTGTCGAGGTTTGTTCGTAAAAAGGACCTTTTGAGGTAGTTTGCAATTTCAGCTCGATGATTTTTTCTGGGGGAGTCGGGAAAGCTGAAGCCAAGGCTTCTACAACGGCCGAGGAGATGCATTCTGGGAGAGGCCAGAAACCTGGACTGTTAACAAGCGGCCCAGGCAGAGGCAGGGGTAGGTTACGGCACTGAAGAAACGGCAGCTGGTGGTCCGGACATCTTCGATTCCACGTACGTCTTGCTTCTTCAGCTTCGTGCTCATGGACTTGGATGAGGCTCTTGGCGAACATGTGCCACCTCGGCTTCGAAATGCCTAGCCTCTGCCAGAATCGGGTCAGAACGATGGTGTCCTCCGTGGGAGTCTGCCTGCGGTGAATGTCGAAAAATAAGCAGGAGTCAGCAAAGGTAGCATTTGCACCCGGATGGTCGGTGCAAGTGGACGGTTTACTAGCGCCGGTTACCACGGCTCCGTACCCTTCGCCACATGTGCCTCGTTTTTGTGCACGTTGGGTGAGCTGCGCCAGGCCGAAGACAGTCTGGGCGTCTTTTGCCATCGTTGGTTCTGGCATAGTTACCCAAAGGGTCCAAGTATCATTATGGTATATACTTAGACCCCCAAAATACTCTATATGTATAGCTAGTTTCCGACACGCCTCCAAAGAAGGGAGACAAGTCCCCCGCCCAAAGCCCCGAACGAAGCTCTGGAGTCAAAAATCCAAGTCCCCGAAGCTTCGCCTGAAGGCCCTGCCGACTACGCCCGAGGCCGCTGAGTCGGACGAGAGGCGAGGGCCAGAGTTTGAGGGGAGAGGTTCCTAAGGAGGAAGGGATGACAGGAGATGTTGAGCCGGAGTTGCGATGCTTTGAGCTGCGGTCCTGCTAAGAAGCAGCACCCACAGCACCAGCAGCAGCTCAGTCAGCACTACCATGATGTGCTTATCGCCAGTGCTTGTATCGTTGAGATTGTGATTGCTACCGTACTCATCATCACCATCATCGCCATCATCACCATGAGCACTTTGTCATCATCACCAGCATCAGCATCATCATCATGATCATCACCATGATGATGGCTGTTCATTATCATCAACAACAACGTCTTCATCAATACGATCATCTTCATCATCATCACTTCGCGGTTCTAGCCATCACTGGTATGGTCTTTCATTCTTGCTTCCCACCCTCCTCATTGTCAGCGTCATCCTCAGCAAAACCATGCTCGTTATCATCGCTATGCTCGATGCTCACTGCATGCCTCGATTGATGCCAGGCCCTCCGTTCAAGAGCTGGTCCAGAAGTACGAGGCTTCGTCGTGTTTGTGCACATGGGCATAGGTTTAGGGTTTAGGGTTTAAGTTTAGGGTTTAGGGGCTGCATTCCGTCAGCGGAGTCAGCTTCTACTACACTGCAGCAGGGCTTGTAGTCCTGGGAGTTCTGGGGATCAAACGAGGCGCTCGGAGGCAAAGCTCTGGGACATGCTTTCACGAAGCAGGCAGGCTAAGGTTTAATCCTTCAGAATCTTAGGCACGAACATGAATCCAGAAACTCCGTGAGGCAGAGGTGTGAGCGTGGTATGTAGAGAGCCAGGCTCCTAAAGTACATTCAAAAATCAGAACCCTTCTAGAGGCACTATTCTAATCACTCGGGCCCCTGCAATCCTAAACCCCCCTAAGCCCTAAAGCCTAACCCTTAAACCATTAACCCTAAACCCTTAAACCCTTAAACCTTAACCCTAAGCCCTATGTAAGCCCTAAACCCTAAAATCTCAGGCCAAGCCGGAAGAGGACGAGGAAGAGGCAGCTGCCGCCCGGGCGCGCAGAATACAGCAGGCAGGGGGAGAAGAATGGGTTTGTATGCTTTGTCATAGTTGGGTAACCTTTTACATTCTTATGGGTACTTAAACCCAATAAGGAACAAAAACGTACATTTTTAATCCTACCTCAACAATGAACTAGTATGGGGGTCTGAATCATTCGAACAGGGTTTTGGGGTATTTTGCACTGAAACTATAATAAGGAACCCCAAAATAGTATAGGTAATGATTAACCCAAACCCCCAGGAGTAATGGTTTAGTTTGCGTTTCTGTAGGGTTTCGGATCCCTTAACCCAAAACCCCACAAGTAGGTAACACAATGGCGCAACACCTATAGAGGGCTATTGTTCTACGTACTTTGGGGGGGTCCAGGTAGTGGTTTGGTGCATAATGGGTTTGTTTTATGGGTTTAGATTAGAAGGGGCCCCCACTCTATCATAGTGACTATAAGGATGATATTAGGGCCTTATTCAATTCCTATTATACCACTATTACAGGGTGGGGGCCCCTTCTAAGGTTTAGGGTTACTTGGGTGTAGGGGTTGGGGTTTTAGGGTTTAGGATTTTAGACTTTCGGGGCTCTGAGTCTGAGCCTATTATAGGAGCCTTAGTAATTACCTACACTTAGTTGGGGGGTTCCTTATTGTAATTATAGTATACTGGGCCTCAAAACCCTATTCTAATTATTAAGGCTCCTAAAATATGTGGTTCACAGCTTGGAGTTTAGGGTTCAGGGTTATGGTGCAGGGCTCATAGAGTTCTGGGAGTATACTTTTGATACCAAGACGCAACACAGACGCAAAGAGTCGAAACCTGCCCACAAACATACGAAGATCGCCTTGAAGAGTGTCTCTTTCGGTGCGTGTTTGGGCTTTCGGATATTCTGATCTTGAGGCCTTCAGCTTAGGTGTTGTTGGGGCTCCAGGCCGCAGGTCTTCTCGTTTCAGTTTGGTTGTTGCTGATAGTAAGTGGACACTGTGTATACTACAACTCTAGAGGGAGGTTGGGAAAAGATACATTCTGGTGTTCAGGATTCAAGGGCTCAAAATGCGAATTTAGTTCTCTAAGCTCTGGCGCTATAGTTTGCTTTTGCAACACACCTTGACGAGCTCTCACGAGTTCCGTCTGTCTTGATTAGTCTTCCTGAAGTCGTGAGCCTGCAACTGCGAGCCCGAAAGCTGTTTATCTAGACTTGTTTCCTGAAGCGCTTTTCTCTGAAGCCTTTCATGTATGCGAGGAGCAGAAGGGTCTGCAACCGCAACAACAACAGCCTATGTTCCTTTAACCGTGTTCCCGAAGAGTCTTTCTAGAACTTGTTACTATATACACACACCTTATAGATATAATTGCCAACGCTAGTTTGGGGGGTTCCTTATTATAGTTGTAGTCTAATGGGTCCCAAAACCCTATTATTCTTTTTATTAAGACCCCTACATTACGCTTAAGCCTAATCCCGAAGATACCAGGCACCCATGCCGACACTGCTCCGACGCAGCGTGGAAGGCCTTTCTTTAATGCTTCTGTCAATCATGCATTGCTCGTTGTGTTTACGCACTTGGCTCTTTTGAGCACTTGTCTGTGCAATGTTCTGACACAAGTGACAGAAGGATTTAGTCTTCCAGGTTCAGAGTTGATGGGTTTAGGGGTGTGGAATTAGAGCTTCAGGCATTTCAGGTGGCAGGTTCCAGGTTATGGATTCAGCCTTGTGATGGCGTCTCCGACAAAGAGGAATCGACCCGTCAAAGTCTGCCTAAACACGAGGTTGATGGCTGAAGCGTACGGGGGTTTGAGCATCGTGTGTGCAGTTCCGATAGTTCTGGGGCGGTGATGGCATTGGCGGTAGTATCGGTAGCTGCCTTGGCATCGAATGCAGGGGGGTTGAACGTGTCGGTGGTAGTCGTAGACCTTGTAGATGAAAATGCGAAAATACCACGGTTAGAGAATTACAGCCACAGAAGTAGCTGCAGTTGTCGTCATAGTGGCATTACCACTACAACCATCACATTCCAGCCGCCGTTACCACGACACTCCTGGTAGTACTGTAACCCTGAAGAGGGGCACCAGCTGGATCACTCTGAACCTCGATCCTACAGTTGTGCAGCCCGGAAGCCGTGAATGCTGACTACTAAAGGCTAAAGCCCTACGTTCCCGACGTCCCCAACCCAGACATAGTATCAGCTACGTGGCTTGCGACAAGAAGGTCCAAAGCCGGGGCTTTCCGCAGGCTCGTGGGCGTGGGGAGGATCTTCCCCTTTTCAGGCAGTTCCGGGAGTCTCTGCGTTTCCGTTCAGAGTTGTTGCTTTCATCGTACAGGGTGTGCGAAAACAGTGTGTGCTCCCTACGGCCTTTAGGCGGTTCTTAAACACCAGACTCTTGAGCATCGATCCCTTCTTTTCCACAGTAGCACTCTTCCAGCTTGCGTCACGATGCCGCTGTGTACGCTGTATATGTATTAGAAGACCTCGTGTTGGTGTTGTTGTTGGAACTATGTTGGCGCAGCAGCTCAAGCAAGGGTGCCAAGCGACAACTCCACCAGAAGCAACAAAGACCTACTGGCTACAACGGCTGGTTCCCTTGCAGCCTGAGGTCCTCGCCAGGATTTGGCCTCTGAGGTGTTTTTCTTCTAGACCTCGGTCTTCGGTCAGAAGAGTTGGCCATGGAAGACAGTACTCAGAATGAAACAGTCATCAATTATCAAGAACTCATAGCCTGAGCCCAGAACCAGCGCAGGGCAAGACGAGCAGAGCACTTCGCCAGTGAAGCTGCAACGGCCCCATACTTTCGTCAGTTGCACGGTGGGGGGGGAAGAAGTCATAAAAGCTTAGACTCACTCCAGGACCCTCCTCTCAAACAGGGGTATATGGTCCCAAATAAGGGGCATTTAGGGTCTAATAGAGGGTAGATGGAGGGTCTAGGCTCAGTTTTTTTTTTTTTTTCTGGTTTTCATCTCGAGCCGAAGATGGTCAATCTTGCGAGGATTTTGGGGCTTTCTTGTATGAAGCCAGATCCCTGACTGCGGAGGCAGGCCAAGAGGAATACAGGGCCTTAGTTAATAAGTTTTGGGGCTCCAGCATACTATACGTGCAATGAGGAATCCTTAAGAGAGTGTAGGTAATTGTTAAGGCTCCTATATTAGTGCTTCAACAAGGCGAGAACCCGCAACCTACGCCCATCGCCTTCAGATCAGGTGTCGGGTCAGATTCAAGCAAGCAAAGAAGGGTCAGACTGGCCTCCCCATAGGAGCACCCTTCCCAGCACGTTCCATTTGCTGCAGACCATGAAGACATTGCCGTTCAATGTCACACAGTCTTTCAGAAAGACGCGTTTCTCAATGCAGGCTCCCGGCTCCATCAACGTAGAACCCTGTGGGA